AAAAAAACACTAAGTATTTCAAAATTTCTAAAGAACACTTTAACCAAAATTCCTAATACAATATGCAGTTTGCAACTCAAAAATATAACAGTACTCACCCATTTGAAGTACTCAGCTTGCTGTCAGAAACAAATTATGTGCACTAGTGGTACGGCTTCCGAAAATCGCTTTTCCTTCGGACACTCTCGCCGTTAACACTGTAGATGTAGATCAGTTTGATCTTCTATGAGCAGGACGCTCCCTTTCTCCGAAGCTGAATTTACTTGCAGCACGGCTTCCGAAAATCGCTTTCCTTCGGACACTCTCGCCGTTAACACTATAGATCAGTTTGATCTTTGAGCAGGACGCTCTTTTCTCCGAAGCTGAATTTACTTGCAGCACGGCTTCCGAAAATCGCTTTCCTTCGGACTCTAGCCGTTAACACTATAGATCAGTTTGATCTTTTATGAGCAGGACGCTCTCTTTCTCCGAAGCTGAATTTACTTGCAGCACGGCTTCCGAAGATCTCTTTTTCTCCCTGCGTTGCGGTCCGTCCGTAAAAATCCAAAATTTTCCTCCTCTCACGGGTCCTGAATGCTAACTTTTTATCCCAAAGCGCTGCCACCAAAACTCTAAGCTGTAACGTTTGAAAGAATAACGGTAGCGTATTCTTGGTGAATTAAAATATGGAATTTATTACGTCACAACTATTGAAAAAATTATTTACAAAATGATACATTAAAGTTATTAAAATTAATTAGATTGTTAGAGTCCACTATTTTGTGAGAGGAGGTTTCGTTGGTTACCGCTCCCGTGCAAGTTCAAAGCATCTCTCTCTCATCTTCCGGTCGGGTCGCTAGATTCCTCGGGGGTCAAACAGGGGTTGCGCTGGATCGGAAATTGCACGTGTGGGCGTCGAATCTACAAAGAAACCGACACCAGATGTTGTTGTTTTCGAAACGTGACGTTACAGGGAACAATAAGAACATTCGATTTGTTGTAACAAACATTCGTTATAAATCATCCAACCCCTTTCGCGAATACAATACTTTCTGCGTTATATAAAGTTTTGAGTAGTTCTTTACTTATGCACACAGACATAGTAGTTATCGACAGTGATTATTCACGAGTTGGGTTATGAAATGCTCTGGAAACAAGGCAGCGCATTCTTTTGTAACTAATGATTTACGCCTCCTCTTCGATGTCCGTGATTGCCCAAGGGATTTCAGACTCAATTATGACTCGAAAATTGTCTCTTGCTAAAACTGTTTGCTCACGATTAATACTAAATAACGACAGAGGATATGTTGGTTCTTAGTCACCAAGTCGCGTTCCATTCTTAAAGATTAAACGACAGACTTTTCGTGCCGTTGCGGAAAACACGTTTCTCTTTAACTCTAACCATAGCAATTTTTTCAGTATATAATTATTTGATAACTGTTGTTGTGCCTGAGTGCATATTGTTCCACAGTTTCTTATGCTAGCTAACTGGTAATTTATGGAAGAGATTGCAATTATGCGTGAATGGATTATTCTAAATTTTATTTCTAAATGATGATTGTGAATTGAGTTGTCACATGCCGTTGTTTGTCTTTATAGCAGCATTAGCATCATTAATTTTCTCTACTTAAATCTTTAAATATCAACCATAGTAAACTAAGCGATTCCATAGTAATCTTTAGTGCCAAATTATTTTGTGTAAGGTTCCGAACACGTTCGGAGCACCTTTTTTTTTAAAAAAAAAAAAATAGCATATTTAAACATTATAAATGCTTTTTTAGGAATTAATACCAATAAATACTAAAAAAAAAATAAGTATTATTTTTTTTAACTCTCTAACAATGTTAAAAAAATCTAAAATTTACAAAAATCACAATTATAAGGGAAATTTTAGCAATACTTTTGATAAACTTCGAAGCAATTAGAGGGAAAAGTAATAAACTTATTTTAGTAAAAGTATTACTGAAACAAACCAAATACATTTATCTAGAAAATGTACCAAAATTTCAATGTTTTATTAAAATTAGAAAATTTTAGAGCTGATTGAGCAAATATTATAAGAAATTTGACATTCTTTGTGAGACCATTATTTGAATAACAGGCTATAACTCAAAAAATATTTATATAAAAAGACATATTTTCGTACATTCTCTAGAAAATAATATAAATATCAGGTTCAAAAACTTTTATAGAAGTACATTTATAACCACTGGCGTAAAGAAGAATATTAGCCCCCCCTGCAAAGTCAGGTTTTGTGCCTCAAGACGGTACTTAAAAAGGGTTTAAACTTGACGTCAGTCAAGATTTGCTTCTCCCCTCCTGCGATGTTGGGGTTGGGGGGATGTACGTTACGCCACTGTTTGTAACATTTTGAGTTATCAGACTCGCCAAGATAGATTTCGAACAATTTAAATACCCACTTCTGGTAGATAAAAGACCCACTTCCGGTTTTTCTAATTTTATAAAATTGATCGTAACTTGGTCTCTTGGTAACGTAGAAACAAAGCAAAGTATGTTTTATAAAGATAAAAGATACACTATTGAATAAAATAAAAGAATACAAATTTTTATTTTGACCGAATTTGGTCATTTTCAACATGTTCGGATACTTAAGAATAACAAAAACATGGGAAGTTGTAAATCTCATGAGCGTTTAATTTGATTTCATTCGTATTGATCTGTTGATCAGGAAACTGAATAAACATCTTTACTGTTCATTTTTATGTTATAAAAAGGGAGTAGTAGAGAAAAACATGGGCCTGTCGTTCAATTATTTTGAAATGAAAATATGTCTTCTGGAATGGCATAGCATTCTGTGAGTGATGTTTTTAAAGCAGATGAACAACCATGAGTTACAATAAATGTTAAATAAAAGTGAGTTAAATAATTCTGTTTCGTCACCAAAAAATATTACATGTGATAGACAAGAGTTATCAGTTTCTCTTCAAAATAGAACTTTATTGTAGTTATTGCATTTTCAGAAATAAATATTTTAAGAAATCTTGTGAATATATATATCTTTATATATAAAAATCTTCTGTGCGTGTGTTTGTCACTAAACTCCTCCTAAACGGCTGGACCGATTTCGATGAAATTTTTTGTGTGGGTTCAAATAAATTCGAGAATGGTTTAGATTCACAATTCGGTCCGATATCGCAATTAGATAAAAAGATATTAATTAAAAACCTTCAAAAAATACAACTCAACATTCACCTGCATTGTTGTAACAACGCTATTGTTATAAACAAGTAACATAAAAAAATTTTTTAAACCAATTCCTTCTTAGATCAAAAAAGAAAAAAAATTATTTTAGCTACTTTTTATTAAATAGCTGCAATTAATATAAATATGTATATACATAGGACAGAATCACAACATTAAGTGGTAATTAACTTTTATTAATTATCATTAAAGTATCGTTTTGTCATCCAAAACAATCGTGTACATAAAATTTCCATTCAACTGAATGCTTTAACACGTGAGAAAAAAACCTTTTCAAATTTTGACATAAGTCGCCAACGTGGCTGTATTTGTAATTTTTTAAATAATTAGTTTTAATCAATTAATTTTTATTAATTATAATTAAATTATTGTATTGTCATCCAAAATAATCATGTACATTACATTTCAGCTCAATTGAGCGCTTTAAAAATGTATTTTATTAACGATTGAAAATTCCACCAAGATAAATAAATAAATAAACAAACAAATAAAATATGTATAGAGATCGTGAGCTAATAGTAGGAATTGAAAAAGACGTAAGTTGGTGTCGAAAATTGATTTTCATCCAAACTGGCCAAACCCGGTCTTTATTGTTACGAAAATGCAGACGATTCACGCTTTTTAGCGTTTTTAATTAATATCTTTTGAATTTAAGATGTGTGTACAGGACAACGTCTGTCTCGGGTCCTCTAGTATATATATATATATATATGTGGGAGTCCTAATAAATCTTCTAATAAAAATCAGACTCTTCAGAAGGCGGGATTTTAGATTGGCGTAGGTGGTTTGTCTAGGGGTAAGTATTTAAGGGTGAGTGATGAATTAAATGAATCTAAGTCATTAAAACACGAATACTTCTTTTAAGTAAAAGAGAGAATTTATTTAAAGTTAAAGGAAAATATTTACAAAAAAAAGATAATTACAAATAGAAAGAAATGCAGGAATTAAGTTAATTAAAAGTTTAGTAATACCATTAGAAGACGGGGAAATGAACCTTTCTCATTATTGGACGAGGACTGGCGGTGCCGCGTTGGGCGCGGAAATGCGGTAGACGCGATGTGTTGATCAAGCAGTAGTTAGTTGGCCTCTGCCGAAAAATTATTCAAGCCGGAGCTACGAAAGCTCACTAGGTGGCGCTGCTTCGGAATGCAGTAATAAATCAAATTGAGATTTATGGTCCTCTGAAAAGGATATCACTCAACCTTTTTACAAATGTTTCAAAGGGAAAATCCTATATATATATATATATATATATATATATATATATATATATATATATATCAGAGAGTGAATGTTCATTTTTTTGAATATCAGTATAGTGAGGAGTGAATATTAACGTCGCATTGTTGAGCTACTTGAGGACTTTTGGCGATGGACCTCGCAATTTTGAACCATGGTCAAGTGACGATACCTGAGCTGGCCTAACTTCACACCATACCAATGGAAGGACGTTTGAAACGACTTATTTGAAGGGCATCGGCTCCCTCTGGACGGCTGGTTTTTGAGCGGTACCAGGCTCGAACTTAAGACACGCAGGCTACGAGCCCATTACCTTGACCACTAGGCTACCGCGGCCTTGTCTAGTGATGAGGACAACACCTGCGCTTGCATCCCACTCTCCAAACTTCCCCACCACGACAACGTGCAAATACGTTCGGCTCGCCGAATATTCAAAGAGCCGCCATGTCGCACAGGCACTATACATTTACAAACATCCATGCTTTCTCCAGGATTCAAACTCGGGCCCTTCAGTTGAGCAGTGAACGTTTTCAACCGCTATCCTAATATGGTGGCTTAGTGGAGCCGTAGCTTGGTTGGTTAAAGCACCTGTCTAGTAAACAGGAGGTCACGAATTCAAATCTCATCGGTGCCTTCGGAAACTTTGTCCCCCTTTTTAGGCATTATTATATATATTACTATATTTTTCATACTCTGAAGCTTATTTTTGTTTTACATTTCAAGTCGAAGAACTACAATACTTAAACGAACTTACTACAATACTTCAAAATCAAATTTCTTAACTTAAGATATTTTAAAATTAACTTTAATTAACTAAACTTTTATTAAAAAGGGTTAAGTTTTCAATTTCCTAGTATAGCGCGCTATCGATTCTTAATTCAAAAAATTATTCTAATCCGATAATTTCTATTCAAAATCAAAATTCTATGTTAATATATCGTACAAGATCTTTACCTATATTTTAAAATGCATTGCATTATATAAATAAAAATAGTGAAAGCGATCAGATGTTACAATTTTTTTTTCTTGTATACTACAAATGTGAACCAAAAATGCTAGATGAACAATTCGCAGTAACTTCGAACACCATCTATCAAGAATAAAGCTGAAACGAGATGAAATATTCTTAGCTCTTTCTTGATAGATTGTTAGTCAAAGACCCAGATGTCAGACATATTCTGTTTCTTGACATAATCGATCTTGTTCAATGGAGAATGACATCTCCCTTACTCGTCAAGCATCTTTCGAGATGTGTGCGTGGGGTTTTATTCAAGCCTTATCGCTAAGAACTCAGCGAAGTACGGTTAGGTTTTGGGTATTATATGCTTCGGTTAGTCAGGCAATCAAAAGGTTTTCGGATGCTCGTATAAAAGGACTAAAGGCAACCTATCACCCAGACATAAAACATTGATCTCTTTTACTCTAACATGGTTTTCTCTGTTTTGTGTGTGTGTGTATGTGTTGTAACAACTACACTCTTTCTATTTTGCGAGAATACATTTGAGTGTTTCAGTTAAATATACGAAGTAAAATGCTTATTGAGAATCAGCCATTATAGTTGTACTTTGTAGTAATGATTCTCAACCCTTTTTTTGTTGTTGTTGTTGCGGTTTTCTTTGATCAGTTTGAAATTCTGGCGGCACGCTAACAATAAAATAAGTTTGAAAGAATTTTACTTATCTACAAATACACTATGTAAAATGGTTTATAAAGGGTGTTTTTTTAGAGGTATAGAACTTTAAATTGCAATAAAACAACGATGCATTATTCGATTGACATGATTTTTTTTATTCGAAAGATAATCTTGTGGCATTACATTTTAAATATGATTTCTGGATAGGACTGCCACGGCTGGCTCGGATGTAGTCCAATTTTCGATGACTTTTTCCAACATTTGTGGCCGTATATCGGCAATAACACGGCGAATGTTGTCTTCCAAATGGTCAAGCGTCTGTGGCTTATCCGCATAGACCAATGACTTTACATAGCCCCACAGAAAATAGTCTAGCGGTGTTAAATCACAAGATCTTGGAGGCCAATTCACAGGTCCAAAACGTGAAATTAGGCGGTCACCAAACGTGTCTTTCAATAAATCGATTGTGGCACGAGCTATGTGACATGTTGCGCCGTCTTGTTGGAACCACAGCTCCTGGACATCATGATTGTTCAATTCAGGAATGAAAAAGTTAGTAATCATGGCTTTATACCGATCACCATTGACTGTAACGTTGTGGCCTTCATCGTTTTTGAAGAAGTACGGACCAATGATTCCACCAGCCCATAAAGCGCACCAAACAGTCAGTGTTTCTGGATGTAACGGTGTTTCGATATACATTTGTGGATTAGCTTCACTCCAAATGCGGCAGTTTTGTTTGTTGACGTAGCCATTCAACCAGAAGTGCGTTTCATCGCTAAACAAAATTCGCTTATGAAATTCGGGAACAACGGCAATCTCGTTTTGAGCCCATTCGACGAATCTACGCCTTGCTTAATGATCGTTTTGATGAATTGCCAAACCAAACTGAGAATAAATCACTTGACAGCTGTTAAATCGGTCGCCATCTTGGAAAGTAATGCCAACTTAAACTTCTATACCTGGAAAAAAACACTCTTTAAAATGGATAAATGATTCGGTTCCGGATTTTATTTTTTTCACAGAGTATAATTAATAATTTTTAAAAAAATTATCGCCACTCAAAAGTGCTGCGGCACAGTTGCTGAGAATCATTGTTTTACAGCAGCGGTCTCTAACCCCCGATCCGTGGATCAAATACTACCGGTCTACACAAGAAACATTTCGCTCTTATTTACAGTGGTATATTTTTCATGGGTTTGGGCAACTTTTTATAAAAATAACTTTATATTCATTTTTTAGTGTAGCTATATCTTATTCTGAGAAGTCACGGTTAAATACAATTAAATTAAAATTATTAAATTAAAACAGTCTAAAATATAAACAATCAACGTCCTCCCCTTCAGTGGGCCGCGGTAAAAATAACAACCGTTGACCGGTCCGCGGCGATAAAAAGGTTGGGGAACATTGCTTTTCAGTACCGGAAAAAGTAGGAGTTATGTGATTTAACTAGATATTTAATGAGCTTACTCTTAAAATTTAAGGGAATATCTCTATAGGCATCTTTCTTTTCTGCAAACGGAATATCTTCTCAAATTAAATGGGGTGGGACGTAATAATGTAAATTAACCCACAAAATGGAAAATCTGAAGCATATGAAAATAAGAAATTTTCTATAAGAAAAATTTATAAAGTTTTACGTCGCGAATGCTATTTTCTAAAATAGTAGCTTTAATTACTAGCTATAAGTTGATTTATAAAGTTAAATGTATATTCTTATTACACTGTAGCTATTTTTTGATAAATAGAATAATAGCTTACATATTTTAATAAATAATAAACTTCTTTGGCTTACATGTACTGAATTGTATAATAGTTTTATTTTGAAGTAATCTTATATATAATTAACAAATTTATTATTATCATTATTGTTTCAAACTGTATTTAAAAAAAATAATTAGGATGGAAAAGGTATAAATATAGACAAAATTTTCATTTTCAATACATAATACTAAAAAAACTTTTATTGTATGTATTTTGAGAAAAGTATCATCATTATTAGTCTAAATCAAAAATTTGCCTCGAAACAAAAATGCAAAATGTTCCATGCTCTTTGCAATTTTAGTCGAATTATAGCAAAACAAACTTTCCAGAAGTATTCATCTAATATATAGTTATAAATTCTTGGATGCATTGTAATAATAGTGATAGGGTGAAAAAAGAAAAAGTTTTTTTTATGTATAGGAAATCATTAAAATTCTTGAAATTTTTAGATAAAAATTTGCGTTTACCCATATTTTGTAAATTATCATATAAAATATTACATTGCATGCATACGTTTATAAGCAATTGCTTAAAGAAGTTAAATCAGGTGAAAATATGAAATTTAAAAAAAATCAAAATGCATGGAAAGTTTTTAAATTTTTTAAAACTATACTCATTTTTTTCTCACCATTTTTTTATATGATTTTAGTTCTACGTTACATAAAGCCAGTAAAAATTTGGGACATGTTTGTAAAAAATTTTACTGCCCACTGTAGTCTTAAAATACAAATTAATATGAAGCACTATATAACACTTTCACAACAATCAAATTAATTACACCAAAGCATTAATATGATTTAAAAACTCACTTCTTAAACTGGATTTAGAAATTCCATTCGATTGAAAATTTAGTAAACACAATCTTTTATTGCCAAACTATTGGAAGAAATATTGTGTTGCCACTAAATTTTAAAACAATAGATTGTATTATTTCCTTAAAAGAATTTTAAAACTGTATATCCAACAAACTCTCCTTAAACTAATTTTTGACAGATTTTGAACCATTTAAATGCCTACTGGGTAGATTAAAGGTTCACTTCCGATTTTTAATTCATGAAATTGAATTATAATTTGACTTCTATGTAACGTAAAGCAAAACAAAGTATGCATCGCAAAGCTAAAAGAAAACGGCTTGTTAAAGCTGCTGTTGAATGAGGAGAGGGGGGGAGGTGCTAGCTCAGGGCGAATAGACGAAAAACACAAAAGAAATTTTAAAAGCCGCAATTTTTAATCTATTTTTTAATCTATTTTTAATCTTTGAACAGATTACGGATAATACTATTCTACATATGGAGAAAAAGTCTCGTTAGATTATTTTTATAAATAACGAAGTTATTAAAAAATTTAATTAAAATTTTGAGTATTTATTGAAAAATCGCAAAAAAAAAGATTCCGTCATTTTTTTGACTGATTCTAAAAGAGAAAAGCATGAACTTGTTTAGAATAAAATATCAATTCATTAACTCGAAAGGAAACTTAAAGGGACTGATTTAGAAACCATTTCTATAAAAGCGTATAAATTTTGACTCATTTTTAAAAAAATTGTAAAAAATAGAAAATATCATTATTTTGTTTAAAAAAATATACCATATCGTGGCGGAAAAAATGATCTTTCCGATTCTGTAATTATTTTTTGTCTGAGATAGATAGTATGAGTTAGATGGCGTTTTTTAAAACGGGGGGGAGGAATTCGGAACTTCATTCATTTCTACCTAACATTTATCGCTAACCGTGACTGGTAACGCGTAACAGAAATTTCTCCCTACCGTGCCATAAGAAGTATACTTCAAAAATACATTTTTAAAAAATATTTAAAAAATTGCAATATTTTACAAATATTTTGAAATACAAAAGATATATAATACTAAAATTAGATAGGGTTTAAAGAGTATGGTGCATTTTATAATTCTATGAAGTTTTACACATCAGAGGCTGCTATTTTAGAAAATAGCGTGCGCAACGCAAAAAATACTTAATATTTATTATAGAATTTTCATATGCTTATGATTTTTAAAATTATTATTTTATTTTAAACATTTTGTACTTTCTGAAGCCCATTCTTTTATAAATAATGTGTAAAAGATTCGAATCATTTAATTTAAATTTAAAAGAATTATACCTGTTTGAAAAATGTTTATATTTTCAGACCTCTAGAGAAATTTAACACCTCTGAGTCCTCTTAAAATTCGAAAATGGTTAATAGTCCAAACTAACATAAAACAACATACAGAAAACAA